AATTTTCACAGAGTGAGTATTTCTACACCCGCTATAAAGTATAACAACAAATAGTAAAAATAATTAAAAATATACAAGAAACTTTCTTTTAACGTCCGTAATTAGTCTTACAAGTTAATATACTACATACATAGAGTAAAAGTCATATTAACAAAAAGTACATGTACGGAACCCTGCGTGTGCGAATTCGACTCGCACTTAATGTTTTTTTAAATGGCAAAATTTTTTATTAAAAAAATGTTTTTGCTCTTATTGAAAATGTTGTGGGAATACAAACAAAGATGTAGATCGTGTATAGATGAAAGAACTAAATATTTACATTACATTCTGCATATCTTTTTAGTAAAATACTAGAAGTACAGCACATAGTAAACTGTAGAGTTGCCGAAACTAAAAAAAAAATTGATAACTGTAATGTTTTATATAATGCTTATCAAACTAATCAAACGAGAACAAAATCTGTGATTTTATTTGAAGCCATTAATTCTATTATTTTCCTCCTAGCACTGTTATTTGATACACTCGAAGGTATTAAATTATATTTTGATGATCTGGATTTTATTTCAAATCGATATAGTAATAATTAGACGAGGTTAAAATCGGATTCAAAGATAACAAATAATAAATAAATAAATATGTTGGTACATTAACACAGCACCATCTAGTTCCATGAGGCTTCCACGAGGCTTGTGTTATGGATAACAGTGGTTGATACACTACACATATATGACATTAAAGACATAAATATTATAAATATAAACACCCATGATTGGAATACAAACATTCATGCGCATTACACAAATCGATTCCCCCAGCGGGACTCGAACCCGCGACCGCTGGCACAGCATGTATAGTCACTTCAGACTGAGCCAAACGTGCCAAATAAAAATGTGTTACAAAAGTGACCTATATATCAGTCTCCGGCCCATCAACTAACTCTATGCAACTCTTGTCAGCTACGGGATAGTATGAAAAAAGGCTGAAACTTTTCAATTTTAAATAAACATTTATTTTAGTTTGGTTTGGGATATGTTTTTTATATTTAAACTAATAGGTTCGTCTCTAGATAAGTTTTATAATAAATAATAAATAAAAAAATATGTTCGGACATTAACACACAGCACCACCTAGTTCCATGGTAAGCTACGAGGCTTGTGTTATGGATACCAGATAGTTGATACACTACACATTATTATATAAACTTTAAATACATACATATTATAAATATAAACACCCATGACTGTAGTACAAATATTCGTGCTCATCACACAATGAATATCCCAGCGGGACTCGAACCCGCGACCGCTGGCACAGCAAGTATGGTCACTACACACTGAGCCAAGCGTGTCGTCATATTTTTGATGGTTAGTATGGAATATTTATTATTATTATTTTGTTGGGTGTGGTGCCGAGGTCGGCCCTAGCTACGTCGACCAGTTTTGGTCCATTGTAGCTCCCTTTATAATGAGTTCAAAGTTCTCCGCTTAGTCCTGTTGACTCCAGGAACTATACTATGTATACTGTATGGAATAACTATACTATATTATTATATATGCATAGGTATGATGAGTTGTTATTGGTTGTATTATAACGTGTTTTTTCGTAAGTATGAGATAATGTCCCGCGGTAAAAAGTGCCTACGTCACTCTCCAGCTTTCCAACTATCTCCACACAAAAAATCGCGCCAACCCGTAACTCATATTTTCACATTTATAATATTAAATATGGATGTGGATAATATTGAACTGTTTTCTTCTTACCTATCTATAAGAATTAACTTTTTTTTTCAAGAGTAAAGCTCGTTTGTCAATTGCTAGTAAGCAATAAACTGTTTTATCTTTTCTTTTTTATATATAGATTATTATGTATTATGTATATATAATAACTATCGACTAACTTTCGCTTCGCTCGGGTTCGTCCCTAGATAGGTTCCCCATACAAACTTTAATCCCCAGCCTCATCCGTTTATAGAATGATTTCCGGGTTAAAAATTTATCTATCCTATATCCTTTCCAGGGACTTAAACCAACTTCTTACCAAATTTCATTTAAATCGGTTCAGTAGTTCCAGAGATCAGTTCTTACAAACAAACTCACAAACTTACAAAATCTCTATATAATATTAGTATGATATATAAACCCCCAATACATACATAGTTTACTTCGTAGATGCAAAAATTTTAACCAATAAATATAATGTAATTTGCCGAATTCAATGAGAAGGCGTTTCGAGAACAATCAATCTTATCTAAGATTAAATGGGATAATATGTCAAAAAAACATCCAGTCGGAAGTGTGGGGACATCTCGATTGACACAAGTTATGATAAATGGTGTATTATTACATCAAGAAGAAATCCATTTGTCATTGTTTGTAGATCTTATATTAGTTAACTAACTATTGTATATGACTTTCACTACAATTTAATTGAACATCTAAGTTATCAAATTACTTCAAAAATCATCTATACATATAATAAAATTCTAACTAAGTCGAATCTGTACATTAAATATGTTTTGGAAAATCCTATTGAAATAGACATTATTATCGATACAGAGGCCGAATCTATAGTTTTTAGAATTTTTGTCTGTCTGTCTGTCTGTTACCGCATCACAGAAAAACTACTAGCAAGATAACTTACTAAATAAGTCAAAAACTCTTTGCGAATTAAAAATAGCTTATCTTGAAAATAATAATAATAGCGCTATTTTATTTGGTTTTTGGTCATCATTCTATAAGAGATGGACGATAATAATTATATTTTAAAAAACTTACTCAACTTTAACAAATGTATATAATACTAGCAACTCACCCTCGTTTCATTCGGGTTCGTCTCCAGTGAAAAACAAAAATAAATCTACCCACGAGAGCCGCACATTTTTCAGGGATAAACAGACTTTAATCTATCTTTGTGTCTTTCATCCAGATTTGTTTAGCCGTTCTGGCGTGATTGAGTAACAAACATCCATCCAGACTTTCGCATTTATAATATTAATGAGATTATTTGGCAAAATGCTTTCTCTCTGTTTCTTCTCCTTTATTTTTTTTCTGTCTTTTTTCCACATGAAATGTAAATATTATTTATTATTAAGCCCAGTGGTAACGCGCTTGTTTGAGAAACCGACTGAATCGGGTTCAAATCTCGAATCTCGCACCACTGATATATATATATATATATATATAATATATATATATATATATATATATATATATATATGACATACAAGTTTTTGAAATACGTGTGAAGTCCGCCAACCCGCATTCGGCCAGCGTGGTGGACTATGGCCTGATTCCCCTTGTATTGAAGAGAGACCAAGGAGGGCCACGAGCTTTAAAAAGAGCTTAATACTCGTATAGAAAGAAAATGATAATATAATATTTCCACAACTTTTTGTAGGTCAAATTATAAGTTTAAATAAGGTTTATGTTAGAGACGTGCTTTCTTCGATATTGTAATACTTTGTTGTGCAATTACTTTGTAATTTAAATTTACTTTTATTAACAAGTGCAATCTAAAACTTTAAGAGCTTATGTCGCTGTAAAAATATACTGAATTAAAACTATTCATACTAATATTTACTACATAATGTACAATATTTTGGTCTTTAATATGTATGTACATTGTACATTCGTGTAAAATTTTTTTCCAGGATAAAAAAATTTAGACTACCATTGAGGTATTTCAAAATATGAACTATATTTTTGCTAAGTTTGATCCAAATTCGTTCAACGGTTTTCTTATGAAACTTTCAACTTGCTTGCTTACAAAAAGCTTAAAAAATGGAATGTGAAAGCTATATCTATTGATTAATTCAGATGAAAATTTGTTTAAAATATTGTTGTTATTTTAAGAAACTCTCTTTCGATCTGAGGTATTCCAATGTAAGTCAAAACTTTAAGCTTGGTAAGTCATTGAAAAGTTCCACTGTCCACTTTCTCTCTCCATTTTAGCTCATTAGCATCCGGAAAGCCAGCCGGGCGTGAAGTTAAGAGACGCATTGAGAGGCAGTGGGTTGCTCTTGGTACTTCTCTGATAGCAGAGTGGGCCGTAGGGGCAACCATGTGGTTAGTCGGTTCAGTAGGCCAGCCGTCGGGGTGTCATGGTCGAGTGTTTTAGTGATTCTGTATATAATATGTGTAAAACTACAAAGGAATAACTAAAAAGATAGTTTCATACAAACTTTCATCGCTTATTTTACCCCCTTATAGAATAAATTTCGAAAAATGCTAAAATAAGTACTTATTTAATTTTATCGAAGAGCGTCAATACCAAGTTTCAAGTAATTCTGATCATTAAATTTTTTTTGGATTGTATTATAACGTGTTTTCCCGTGGAAATTAGATAATCGCGGTAAAAGTAGCCTATGTCACTCTCCATCCCTCCTATCTCCACGCAAGAAATCACGTCAATCCGTCTCTCCGTTTCAACGTGAAAGATGGACAAACAAACAAACACACTTTCAGATGTATAATATTAGTATGGATATGGATATGCAGGTGGTATGCGTAAAAGCATTTCTCAAGGTGAAACTAATAAAAGTGTAATAAAAATATGAACTTCACAAGAGTATAAATAAAATTATTCAACTAAGTATCATTTATTCGATTTAAAATTACAACATACAATATTTTTAAATAACTTTAAAATCTTTATTGAATTTATATTATTGTATAATTACAGAACAACCTTGAAAAGAAAATCAGGCAGAATTATATAATTTAATTACTATAGTTTTTTGGGCGGCTCCTTTGTTTAGCGATGAGTTTTCCGTATAAATTCAATACAATATAAAATATTTATTATTCTATATCGATCTATTCTATATATATATATAGATAGATAGATTTGTTTTTGTCCAGAGACGAACCCGAAGCAAAGCAAGTGTGGCTCGCTAGTATTATATATTATTAACACTATTCTAATTTCTATATAATAAATATATTGTTATTATAAAGCAATAACACATTGAGTGACTACAAAGCAATTAGAGTAAGCCGTTAGTTCGGTGAGTCCGCAAACGGAGCAGAGCCAGACCAAGTGATCTTGGCATCCTGCCACCTGGAACAAAGGCATAATATAAGTATCTAATGGTATTAGATTTAAAAATATAATCTATATATATAATAAAATTCTGAGCCGAATTTGTACATTAAATGTTTTTTTTTTGGAAAAGCTTATTGCAATCATTATTATCCATATAGAGGCCGAATCTATAGTTTTTAGATTTTTTGTCTATCTGTCTGTCTGTCTGTACGTCTGTCTGGGAATGCATCACTAATTATACCAAATTTCATCAAAACCACTGGCGGATTTTGATGAAATTTGGTATAATGATACCAAATCGGCTGAAAATTACTTTACGATCTACATATTCTCATATCTACCACATATAGAAAAAAAATCATTAAAATCGGTCGAGCCGTTTCGCAGGAATGTGACCACAAACACCGTGGCATGGTTATTTATATATTAGATGATATAATATGAAAATAGTTTACTAGAACACGTCTTAACATGTCAGTGGGTTTGAAAATATTTTTGAAATACTTGTTTAAAAATAAATGTCACAAATGCAGATGAACGAATATAGACAGGCTGGGAGATGAACTGAGTAAAATGTCGCTTTTAACATTTGACATCTGACATTTTGTTATATCACCCGTTCTCTGAGGGATTGTGGAAGAGTTTATAGTGACCGACTTAGAATAGGAAGGTGTACTTAATTTGTTTGTTTTATGTGTTATTTTTTTTTCTTCAAAATTATGAGCTTCGATTTGAAGTTCTTGTTTATATAAATAGATTATTCAAAAGTGGTCGAATATAAACAAATGTAAAAAAAAACTACACATAAGGGTGAAATAATTCAGTACCTTTGTGGCGTGGTTGAAAATTATCTGTCTATCTAATAAGAGATGGCAGGTTCGACATGTCTTTTACAAAAAAAAATTATAATAATTATACAAAAATCGCTCTTTCTGGTGAATATAGAGAAGTGTAAGGAACTTAAAAAGTTCAATTTTTAAAGTTATTGAAAAATAGAGAATGAAGTAGACAAAGAAAACAATATGAATATATACACGTTTGAGATACATTCATTAATTATCAATTCAGAATAGGGTTCGCTCAAAGGTCGAAATTCGATCATTATATTTTTTTATTGACGACACTAAAACTCGTCAATAGTTACTAAACAAAAAAAAAGAAAAGAAGATTGACAAACAGAGCGAAAAAAGGTACTGAGCTGTTTGGTCTTTTTCTATTTATATAAAGATGCCTCTACAAAGAAGAGTCTCAGAATGAATATTTTAAAAGCTTTATTTTCAGTACTAGCGAAAACAAAAACAAATCTATTCCACAGGAATCGTACATTTTTCTGGTTTAAAAAATAGTATGTGTGAGCTATATTATTGTAAAGTTTCATTAAAATCCATTTAGTAGTTTTTGCGTTAAAGAGTAACAAACATCCATACATCTATACATCCATACATCCTCACAAATTTTCGCATTTATAATATTACTAAGACTATTATTACGCATTCACAATGAACTTATTTATTTTCCCACTTAGATACTTCACGTAGTTAACAGATCTATTACGTAAATTCCCAACTAAGAGCAAGCGAAGTAAATCTGGCTGAGTGCCATTACAAGTTGGCATAAAAGTTAAGAAATACAACAACTAGATCTAAAATTTTCAAAACGAATGAATATTTTTAATAGCTTTTACTAGTCCAGTGTTGATTTATGAGTAAGGTATTATCTCAAAACACATTTTTTTTTTTGTGGATTCATTTTGATTTTTGATTCTTGACGTTTCAAATGCTTTACAGCAATCATGGTCACTGGAGAGACAACACTCCAAAGATAATTTTATTTAAAATGTCTAATATTCGCGTAAACCTAAGAAAGGATTACACGTGCGGTATATACTTTTTTCCCATAATAAAAATACCTAAGAGAGTAACTGTTCGCAAAATAGACACAATAGTTAATCAATCGAAATGTTCATATATGACTCATGGGACAAGGAAACGGTTAAATACCATGGAAACCATTAGTATACAGATTATGCAAAAATATACGTTTATTATCACTCCCTTCGAAGTGGAAATTTTTATTGATAATTTCGGAATGAGAATCATGAAAGTCCTTTAACAATTAACAAAATACACAAAAAATACACTCGATTTAAATACATCTTATTTGAAGTCGGTCAACTAAAGTCAAGTAAACAAAAACATTTATACTTAAGTACTTGGAGCGTACCCTCATTTCGATCGGGTACTTAAAATTATTAAAACGTAACTAGATTTTTTTTTGAACGGAACCTTAACTCTTTTTGTAAAATAAAAGCAGCTTAAGCAACTCCTTATAACATCAGCTATCTGTCATTGAAAGTCCCGTTGAAATCTGTCCAGCCATTTAGGAGATTAACCGGAACAAACAGACAGACCGTATATACTTTCAAATGCAATCAGTAAAAAACTGTTATTTTGACATTACAAACAGACACTTCAATTTTATTTATTTGTATAAATATAGATGTTAAAATCGTACTTAGTATGGATGAGCTTCTCAAGCGGTGTAGCGCTTATATCGTCATTCCTCATCACCGCCGTCTCCTCTTGAGCTCGAGTATCTACATTAAGTAGAACGTGACAGCCTCCGCATGTGTAATAGTGTATATCAAATCTATAAAAAATAACCTTTGAATTAATAAATATTATTGTGATAAAAGCTAAAACATGAATTAAATGAGCCCAAACTATCTATACATATAATAAAATTGTAACTAAGCTGAATCTGTACATTACTTATTTTTTGGAATATCTTATTGTAATAAACATTATTATCGATACAGAGGCCGAATCTATAGTTTTTAGAATTTTTGTCTGTCTGTCTGTTACCGCATCACAGAAAAACCACTGGAGAGATTTTGATGAAATTTGGTATGATGATAGCTACTTATCCGGGTCAACATATAGGATACTTTTTCCCGCGGAAAATATCACATTTGTCAGGAAAAATACAAAAACTGCAATGTAAGAGTATACTAATATGTAAAACCTAAGCTAACCTAATTTGATTTTTGGTCCTCTAAACGCGGGCGAAGCCGCGGGCTGTGCTAGTTGATATATAAAAACATAGATACACATTTCCTTACAAATATCTCTTCAAAACGTGGCGTCGACATGTGACGTTAAGTCAAACCAAAGAATAAAATTCAAAAATTGATAGTTCTAATTATGTAAATATAAATTCGAATTTACGCACACGACATAAAGTACGTTTTTAAACAAAACAACGTGTGTTTTAATTTTGTCATTCTAAAAGCAAAATTTGGAAAAAGCGCATAATTTTGAATTATACGCCTTTTCTTGAGGACACTTTTGAAACGCTGATTGTATATCTTGAGTTTTTGTATACTAACGGCCCAAACTCAAAGATTTTATTAGTAGCTATTGTATCTTCATTGATACTATCAAATTATTATGTTGTCAAAATCAAATCGATATGACAGTTAGAATGTAAAATATACCTGCAATATTCAATATTACAAACTCCGTTCCAAATAAAGCTTATAAAAGCATATAAAATATTAGTGACTCACCCTCGATTCGCTCGGGTTCGTCCTAAGGTTGATTTCCCATACAAATTTCATCCCCATTTTCACCCCCTTAAGGAATGATTTCCGGGACAAAAACTATCCTATGTCCTTCCCAGGGTCTCAAACTACTTCTTACCAAATTTCATCTAAATCGGTTCAGTAATTTCGGAGCTGTATTGAATTTACAAACAGACAAAAAAATAATTTATCTTTATAATGTTAGTATGGATTGTATTCTTAAAAATTGATAATTTTACTTTTTTACTTCAAAATATAGTTTATTTCTGACGAAATTATTCCATTATTTTATAAATTTGTAATACCTTCGTTCTGCGTGGTAGTTTCTCAAAAGCTCTCGATTTGTATTAAAAAGCACTCCATAGTGTCCAGAGCAGCTTGTCACCTGCAATCATTGTTCATTAATGAAGTTTCCAAATCAATGAGTAGGAACCGATTAAAATATAAAATGTCGGGGGTTATTGTACAAAGTTGATTTTTAGATTTTATAAATGGGAATATTTTTATGTAGTATATAATCGAAAAACTTAACAGCCTCCTTGGTCCAGTTAAGCATTTGGCATATATTGCAAAATTTTGGACATGTCCTTGACAAGAAATTCTCAAAAGTAACTTGGTGTTGTGTTAAAGTACTTTTTTATGTTAAAAAATTTAGTAAACATAAATTTAAATATACAAAATCTGTTTAACTTTAGACAATAAATATCTTCTACTTTCTATTCTACATAATTTTGGTTGAATGTTTGGTTTTACCTTACTTAGAGCTTTTACCACAAGGGTTATATAGGGTATATTTGTTATTTATATAGGTTTTACTTATAGCCGTTAAGTTTATTAAAAAAGTTCAAAATTAACGATTATCACAACACTTTGAACTGTCACAATTAAGAGTACTAGTGATCACCCTATGGTTAAAAATCAACCATAATTCATTAAGTTTGACCGATATTGAGATTCTTTTTCAAAGTTATAGATTCAGAGATTTGTGCGTACAAACAAACTTTTCATTTTTTGTTGTATTGCATGTACTTACATACAATGCATGCAACTTTTAGCAGTAAAGTAATTATATATAAAAAAAATACGCGAGCGGATTCGCGGGTAAAAGAAAGTCAATAAATTTTGGCTTTCTGTTTTCCTCCTCTATATAAACTTTAACTATGCCAAAGCTCATACTCCTCCTTACATGCAATATGCTTATAAAGGTGTTCAAAGTTTTCACGTATTAATATATAGATATACATCCTAGGTTTTACTGGAACATTTTAGTATTTTCCCTAGTGCGAGCTTTTACAGTAACATATTATATAAGTTTAATAAATAAAACTATACCCAAATTGGCAAAGCTGGTGTTTTCAATCGCGATCCAGGATATTGCTTGGAAATATTTTTCGTTGCGTTTTCTTCATTACCGTACCACACGAGCAAACCGACAGAGCTTCTTGACAAAACACCAAACTGAGGCATAGCCTATGAAAAATTGGTAATCGATTAGAAAAATCTAGATTTAGATCTAGTTAGATACTAAGATAGTTTTTTTTACAATTCTAGAATGTTCTGTCCTTAAAGCCACATGATATTAGATAGCCTATAAGTAATTTTGTTTCTATTATTTGATGTTCCTTATATTTAAGAAATACTTTCGACATACAAATTTTTTGACAGTATTAGTCTTTTCTAAAGGACTCTTCTTCTTCTTTACATATATAATTATTCTTCTGTATGTGTGTATGTCACTGAACTCCTGCTAACCGGGTGGACCGATTTTGATGAAATTTTTTAGGTGTCTGAGTGAGTTTAGATTAACAAATGAGCCTGGTAGGTAGCGCTGCAGTCGGGTTCTAGGATTTTTTAATTTTTATTACTAGCGAACTCGACTGACGTTGTCCTGTCCGAATATATAAATAATTGTTTTGTACGGTGTATGTCACTGAACGTCTTATAAACGATTGGACCGATTTTGATGATTCTATTTATATTTGTTCTGTAATATGTAATATGTTAATTTAGATTTTATCACCTAAAAGAGCATTATCAAAAAATCTAAAAATCTAATGAAAATAAAAATCAAATAGCGTTAGAATATATTAAAACATGAATTTTCATACATAATGATCTTCATCGCCGACATATTGCACGCCATTATGTAAATAGGGAGTAGCGCGTCCGGTCAGAAGCAACGTTGTCACGTTAAGAGAGCCCTCGACTTGGGTCGAGACGAGATACGTCAGTTTGCCATCCAAGTCTTTTTTAACGCTAAAATTTAAGTAAGAAGATTTTATACATAACTAGCGACTCACAAAGTTAGGCTAGGTACATTTGAAATTAAATTGGATATAGTATGTTATCCTTAAGAGAAAGACATATGCCATCGCGGACTTTTCTGTAGACCTATATAAGATACACAATTCCATCATACATTATTTTGTTATACAGCGTTTTCGTTGAAAGCTCCTAAACGTCTTATTTTTTCCGACACCTCCAACAAATATCGTTATATTTTAGCCAATGTATACAAAAACTTAACAAATTATATACTAAAACCTTCCTCTTGAATCACTCTATCTATTAAAAAAACAGCATCAAAATCTGATGTGTAGTTTTAAAGATTTAAGCATACATAGGGATATAGGGACAGAGAAAGCGACTTTGTTTTATACTATGTAGTGATAATGTTAAAGTTTTTGTGCTTACTCATAAATATTGTTGGGGCGTTATTTATTTTCATTTAATATTTATATGAATAATTTGTTATGATCGTATCTTACTGAGTGTCGAGGGTGTTTTTCTATTACATTATATTAAATTTGGTATCAGAAAACACAAGACCGACTTATATTACTAAGGCAATTTTTAACCAACTTCGAAAAATGAGGTGTATTCAAATTAAATATCGTATAATATATCTTTCTGGAAATCGATTTTCACAAATATTTTTATTAAAATAACCTATTTAAGTTAAACTTCAATAGTTTCATAGAAATTTAAAAAAAAACCGCGCTTATGATGAAATAATTGCTTGAGAGTCTATTAAAATCGATTTTCCAATTAAGTTATAATATTTTTAATGTTTTACTTTAGAGTATGTAATTCAATTCTTAAGTTCAATATAGTTACACTGTTTTTACTATTTTGACAACAGACAGACAGAGCGAGTGACATTAGACCAAGTATTAATCCATCTGGATTTTTGTATAGGGATCCCAGATAATAACTAGAATTGTTTATTTATTTATTTATACTTTATTGTACACCACAATCATGAAGTAAATACAGTTAACAAAATTTTATCCAAAAACTATAATTTACCAAAAAATACCAAAAAAAATAGAATATTACACAAAAAACTAGAATTATTACTTTAAAATTAGTTTTCAAATACTTACTTTTCACATCCCCTCGACAAGATGCAAGCGTACAACAGAAGCAAAGATCCGGAACCATCTTCAGACTGAAACTAATTAAGAAAGATATAAAATAATTTTCTAATAACTTTTTATAGAGTTTAGATTAAATAAAAACTTAAAAAAATATTAAAATCCGACTTCCAGACACTAAAATGTAAAAAATAACTAAACGGGGGTTTTGATTTAGAATAGATATCTAATCAGATATTTTCGAAGTCGGTGCCAGCCGATGCAAAACAAATCTAATATATTTCGATACGCAAAACACATATTTACCTATTAGATATTCATATCTTAAAATATTGTCGGTTGGCACCCTTTGAAACAAAAAAAAAATCCAAATCGATTCAGGCGTCTTCGAGTAATCGGTGAACATACATAAAAAATCCGACGAATTGAGAACCTCCTCCTTTTTGGAAGTCGGTTAATAAATAAACTTAAATATTGAACTTTATGGTACAAATTTTGTATAAATGTAATTTAAGAGTGTTTTTAAATATATTAAAATTATACTAAGTTAATCTCCTACTCATACTTAAAAAACTTTTTTCCTTTAGTTTAAAAATGATGTCCTCCTTTTTCATCCATCTAGAAGTTGGAAATCTTGTATAATTTTAATTTTACTTACGGCCGTCATATATATACACCCACAATTAACAAATGAAAAATTGCACCAAGTACCTTACAATATTTTATAACTTTAAACATTTTTATAATTTTAATTAGTTTTATAATTGAATATGGAATATTATTTATTTAATTTTTGCTGTTATCATTATAATTATTACAATTTTAAAAATATTAATTAGTAATCTATATTTAGTGTAACACCTCAGTCTCTCCCGTGACCATAAATCCGTGAAATAAACCGAAAAGATAGTTTTATTTAAAAAGCTCTTTTAAATTGTCCTTCAAGTGACCTTAAAGCTTACCAGTCAAGGTTAATATCGTAAACTAGTATATCAAAACCAATCTCAATAAAGTTTGAAAGTTACCTATTTCAAGCTTTCCCCCGGTTGTAGAGCGTGAAGACATTATTCGCATTTATAATAAAAATTTGGTAAAAAGTGGTCCAAGTTTTGACAGGTCAGTCATGCCCCTTCTGAAGTAAAATGTTATTATGGGCGCATATGGAACTATTTCATTAGAAACATTTGAGAACTAAAATGTAAATATACTATGTAAATACATATTAATAAATATTAATATAAGATTTTTCAGAGCTGAGATATTTTCCCGCGGTAAAAAGTATCCTATATGTTGACCCGGATAACCAGCTATCATCATACCAAATTTCATCAAAATCTGTCCAGTGTTTTTCTCGTGATGCGGTTACAGACAAACAGACAGACAAAAATTCTAAAAACTATAGATTCGGCATCTGTATCTATAATAATGTTTATATCAATAAGATTTTCCAAAAAATATTTAATGTACAGATTCGTCTTAGTTACAATTTTATTATATGTATAGATTATAATAAAAGACAATAAAATTCTCCATTCGTTAGTTTAAAGATAAAAATTCCAAAGAACTCGGCTACTATTACAACGATTAGAATATCATGTTTGAATGGAGTATATTATATAGTATTTCTCGAAAGGGGGAAATGCGATATAAGAATAAAATTCCTACCTGACATTGGTAATCGTAGACCCAGTTGAAAGTGAAGAACAAGATGTGACCCATATTAGGCCCCCATTGTTTTGTAAGAAAATAAAATTATTTTTGCATCTTTTTATACTAAAATATTTTTTTTTTTTTAAATAGAGTCTCGCATTTTAGATATTTTGATGTGCGAATCATTTCCAACATTATTAACATTTGTGTTATGGTGAAAGAAGAACATCGTGAGTAAACCTGCATGTCTGAGAGACCCTAGCAAGTTTTCAAAAGACATGTGACGTCCGCTAAACCGCACTTGGCCAGCGTGGTGGAATATGGCCCGATACCCCTCGTATTGAAGGGAGGCCCGTGCCCAGCAGTGGGATGTTAAAAAGGGTTGAATATAAATAAAAGAAAACTGCTTCTAGAGCTTTAGTCTCTCCCGTGAGCATGATTGCTGTAAATCATCTGAAACGTCGGGAACCAAAAATCAAACTAAATTCGCGAAAAAGTCCGAAAAGATAGTTTTATTTAAAATATATACTAATATTATAAAAAGGAGAGAGTTGATTTTTTATTTGTTTGTACTTAATAGGCTTCGAAACTACTGGACCGATTTAGATGAAATTTGGCAAGAAGATAGTTTATGACCCAAAGAATAACATAGGATAGTTTTTCCCGGAAATCATCCCTTAAAGGGGTGAAAATGGTGTTGAAATTTTATATGCCGAAGCAATCTATCAAATATTCGCGTTAATCTGAGACAGTTTTATTAAAAGCTTTCAACGTAAAAAATTAAAATATATCATTTTAAAATATTTTATTGTAAAAGATATAATATGTACAATTAAACTACGATCCTATCAATCATTTGTAATGTAATATGGCATATTTTAAATGTACTTTACATATATTCCGATAATCTAAAATGATATATGATATTGACTTTAATACACAAACTGTTATTGATAACAGATTTGATTATAACTTACGGTAAGTTGACACGATTTAATTTTGTGGTCGCTGTGGCTATTTTTATAAGCACTACAAATTTTAGTGTTTTTTTTTATTAATTAGTTTAGAACGACTTATTCTCGCGAGGTTTCGAGACGCATTCGTCCTAAGTACGTTTTTTTTTCGTGAGTTTTCCGATGTTTTAATAATTATTCTGCTATTTGGGGTAAAGACAAATCCAACAAAACAAAGATCATAAAAGTCGGTTTACGGTTCTCGAGTTATAAGTGTTGTAACAAACCCGACTTTGTTTTTATAATATAAAGTTTTTTTTATTTTTAATTATTCTATTTATTCTATATATTACTAGCATTGCCTGCGGCTCCGCCCGCGTTCAGATGACCAAAAACCAAATTCTTAGGTTTTACATATTAGTATACTCTTACAATGCAGTTTTTGTATTTTTTCTCAGAAATGAGATATTTTCCGCGGTAAAAAGTATCCTATATATTGACCCGGATAACCAGCTATCACCATACCAAATTTCATCAAAATCTGTCGAGTGGTTTTCTCGTGATGCGGTAACAGACAGACAGACAGACAAAAATTCTAAATATTATAGATTCGGCCTCTGCATCGATAATAATGTCTATTTCAATTAGATTTTCCAAAAAATATTTAATGTACAGATTCGATTTAGTTACAATTTTATTATATGTATAGATTAGTAATATTATAACTGCGATTATTCCCATCCCTTCCCTTAGTTTGCTATTTTCTACACTTTAAAGTCACCTCTTGTACATTATCTAACTTTTCTGTATACATTCATTTTTTTTTCTTAGTAATTCAATAGAGAGTTTTTATTATATTATTATTATTACTATACTAGCAATTTCCCCCGAATCCATCTGAGTGGCGTTTTTGTCTTCCATATGGTTAGTAATGTCGCATTTTTTTTAAACATTTTAACTCATTGTATCCTTTTAGAGGTGTTTTTTTAAGATTTATATTATAAAGTTCTAAGAATCAACATTCATTATTATTGATTATGTGGTTTCATCAAGTGTCTCGTAAAAACCGAATTGAAAAAGTTTATTTCGCTTTCATAATCTTAATATGATTAGCAATATATAGAGGGAATGATGTAAGTAATCATTAATTTTATATTTGTATGTTATAAAATAGATGAAATTCTACCCTACAAGTAAGTTAAGTAGAATTTCTGAACTATATTTAGTTTAACCTTAAGCCATATCTAATTTTTTTACATATCACTTGTCAATTATTTACGTATGACTAAACATACAGTTAGAATATACACAAAAACTTTTATTTAACCGATTTCAAAATAAGAGGAAATTTTCAATATATCAGTAGTTATACCTCAATTGATCAAGAGAAAAAAAATATTCATTTGGACCAGAGTAGAACTATTTATATTGACATGATTTAATCTGTATAACTTTGAGTTAAATATTACCCAATTTTTACCCAAATTATAAACCTTTCTTTAGGTATAGCCGCCGTAATTATAAAGCTTCAAATAGAACGCGTCTCAACGATGAAAGTTCCAAAGCTGTTGACAATACGTAAGCCTAAGTTAAGCTTCTACAGCTAAAATGCCTCCCTCGACTTATACGATTTTCGGTAAAACTCGACACATAAAGTATAATAACAGCGCAATATTAAACAATTTTCTGCCAATATTTAAAATGTTGCGTATTTTTGACTGACACCAAATAGAAGGAGTACTCAATTCATTTAATTTTTTTTGTATATTTGATAATCGAAAATAGATTTTTAAAATTAAATAAAATATATCTCATTTTTTATATATGCATTAAATATAATAGTAAAATATATTGAATAGGAACTTACATACAAAATAATATATGTAAAAACTTACCAAATATAGATATCTCTTCAAAAATATCTGTAGATCCTCCAGACTTTTGAAGTCAAACATATGCAGCTTGAAAAAACAAGAGCATATAAATCTGTAAGAATATCTTTAAATAAGTGACCCTCCAAAATTTGGAGTTGTCATTTTGAAAACTTCGAGCTAAAATAACCATTCATCCATACTAATGTTATAAATGTGAAAGTGTGTGTGTTTGTTTGTCCTTCTTTCACGTCGAAACGGAGTAAAGGATTGGCGTGATTTTTTGTGTGGAGATAGTTGGAGGGCTGCAGAGTGACATAGAATACTTTTTACTGCGGGAGATTACTTAATTCTCACGGGAAACACGTTATAATAAAATCCAAAAAAAAAATATTATCAGAATTACTTGAAACTTGGTATATATGCTCTTCAACAAAATTAAATATATACGTGTCTTAGCATTTTTCAAAATTCATCCTATAAGGGGGTAAAATAGGGGATGAAAGTTTGTATGAAACTACCTTTTTAGAGATTTTTTTGTAGTTTTAGTGCAAGCAAAGCCGCGGGTCCGCTAGTATTATAATAAAATAAAAATTACAGTACAGAACCTTAACTATAAAATTTTAATCTGTTTTTTTTTATCTGGGCTAATCTTCAGTCGACTGAACTTATTTTAGTAAAACTTTTTTAATTGGTCATGTTAGAATCTATATTAATACTAGCAGAACCCGCGGCTACGCCCGCGTTTAATCTACAAAAAAAACTCTTTCGCTTTATGTTATACAACTCGCTTTGCTTGGGTCCGTCGCTATGTATTTATATAATATAGTTTATACTAAAATCGCGATTATAGTGGAGTGGGGGTAGGGGGGTTAAAAATACTTTAGGACCTATTCTCATACCTACCAAATATATATATATATATATATGAATCAATAAAATCGGTTGAGTCGTTTCGTAGAAGTGCGACCACAAACACCGTGACCACTGCAAATGTCTATAGAAAAGCACAATGTCATTGTCACCTATAAATGCTTCAGACAAAGACGAAATGCCATTCTCAGACGAAATTCCTTAGTCTTCGTGCAAGACATGATGTGTCGCACTTTGATAATAATGTGTATGATAATTTTACTTAGATGTTAATTATTAGATATTTTTATAACTTCTAATAAAATGTTACGAAGATTTTTTATCGTTTACAATTAAACTAATTATGTCTTTAGTCTAATTTAAGAACACATAGTACCATTATTCAGTATATACAGGGTCATTTTTAATTTACTGAAGACCTTTTGGGAATATACTATTTATAATATAACAACAACATCTGTAACAAGAAAAAATTATATTTCGTAAATTTTCATTTTCATACAAAAATAAAAATATTTTTGTTGCACCTTCTAAAAGGTAAAGTTCTAGCATCTGGCCAAGTTTAAATGAGTAAGGGCCACTTCCTACACCCCGCCACCCCTCCCCGTCCACCGATCACGCGCTTTCTTTTGCTAATTGCTTTTGCTATTACCGTTTAGAAGGAGCAATAAAAATACTTTTATTTTTGTAAAATTTAAGAAATATTTTTGTTTTCTTACAGATGTTATTGTTATGATGTAAACAGTATATTCTCAAAAGGTTTTCAGTCAATTAAAAATGACCCTATTTATACATATGTTGGGACATTAACACACATCACCATCTAGTTCCATGGTAAGCTACGAGACTTGTGTTGTGGATAACAGATAGTTGATACACCACACATATACATATGTATAACTTTAAATACAAGCGCCATGGTCACGGGTTTGAGTACTTGTTACAGTCCCGAAATATCGAGAACTCTCAAAAGTAAGTACTAAACATAGTAAATATCCCGTTTTACATCACAATAATATTGTCAGTGACCATGAAATTTACCGCCTGGGGGCATTCATTTGTGTGATGAGCACGAATATTTGTACTCCAGTCATGGGTGTTTATATTTATAAGTAATTATTTAAAAGTTATGTATGTGTAGTGTATCTGGTATCCATAACACAAGCCTCGTAACTCACCATGGAACTAGATGGTGCTGTGTTTTAATGTCCCAACATATTTATTTATTTATTATAGCTTATATAACTTACCATCTCAGTGATCCCATCTTGATAATACGTGGAACTATGTTGAACATATACTTGACCAGTTGGTAGTCCAACAGTGGCTTTAACTTCAGTTTGAGCGTTGAAGCCACCTGCACAACGCCAAATAACTTCACTGCTGGCGCGCCATAATGCCTCCTCTTGACGTTCTTCATTAGGGCGTAAGTAGCTTAAATAGAAATCGTACCACTATTAGAAATATGAAATTTTGTATCAATATGTATAATATGAAAGTTTGTTATTTCTTCACAATGAAAAGGCTGGACTTATTTGGATGAAATTTGGTACTTAGATAGACTCTGACTTAAAGTAACACATTTTCGGCACCTAGGGATGCACCCAATCGAAGCGTCACTAGTAGAATTATAAGTCCCATAAATATTATAGCCATAATCCCATTATCCATTAATATTATAAATGCGAAATTTTGGATGGATGTTTGTTACTCAATCACGCCAGAATGGCTGAATAGATATGGATGAAATTTGGCACAGAGATAGATTATAGTCTGGAATAACACATACGCTCGAAACATCAGATACTAAAAACCAAAAAAAACTTTCTTATACACATTTATTTAAAACTAAAAACAAAAGTTAGACCGCGAAAAAATCCAATATATTTTTTAATTTAAAATGTTTAATAAACAAAAATATATTCAATTTTGTAGTATAAAACGGCTAGGTCAATATTCCCGCTACATCTTCACTTCGCGAATTTACAACACCATTTGCTTTATCGTATTCCACGATCTGGCCCAATATGCTTTATATCATAATGTACAAGCGTTTGCCACCCACTTTATTTCGTGTTTATACATTTTTGGTTGTAAAATTCGAATATTTTGCTTATTTCAGTAAAATTGAAATAATTTAACAAAGTATTTGAAACTAAGCTACTTTTTATAAAAAGCGTTATTTAGAATATTATTGTTAGTAGATATGATTTTATTAATCATTATTCTATCAGTTTACAAACAACAAAAACCGCATTAAAAACGGTTCCTTCGTTTAGGAGATACAATGCCACAGATAGACATACATACAGACGGACACGTCAAATTTATAACACTCCTCTTTTTGCGTCGGGTTTAAAAACTTAAATATTAAGAGCAAAGCTCATTTAAATCAAATTAAGAATTTTGAATGAATGTATTATTTATTATGTTTAACTTATTTAGATTTATAAAGCTTTTTTGAAAAGTTTTATTTCATTATAAAGGTGTCTACAGTTTAACTACAATATTTTCAATTTCATCTGACATATTTTTTTTCTAAATAATATTACTAATTATTCTTTATCTAATATATAAATTGTGCACGGTGTTTGTGGTCGCACTCCTCCGAAACGGCTCGACCGATTTGAATAATTTTTAGTATATTTAGTAGGTATGAGAAGAGGTCGTAAAGTATTTTTTACCCTCCGGTGGGGGTCCACCTCCCATTTTTTAAGTAACTAGGGGCGAACCCGAGCGGAGCGAGGGTGAATCGCTAGCAAACTTATAATATTTAATACATATTGCATGATTTTAAATAGCAGGTAGTTGTATCTTTTAATCTTTAACCGATTTTGAAAGTTATTTTATTAATAGAAACTTATTTCGCACAAGGAGTCACGGTTTGAAATTAGTCCTAAAAATTGAATAAAAAAAAATATTAAAAATTAACAGAAAAACAAACAAATTACACTATTATTTTATTATAAGTTTAAAACTTCGCTGGTTAGTACCATAATGTACCCCATTTTAGTAAAATATCGTTGTGCCACATTGCAGATTTATGCTAAAGCACGAGGTGTACTAGAGAATTATGATCGGCATTTTGGAGCTACGTTACCTTCACATGTCCGTGGGGTGGAATATTTTGAGAAGCGATTTGTTATTATGAAAAAATATGCTTGGATGCACGTTATAATTTTTGTTGAAAAAATCTTTCTGTCTAACTTTCTTTAGTATCCCCATACAGATTTTCATTCCTATTTTCACCCTCTTAATTAATAAATTCCGAGATAAAAGCTATCTTATATCCTTTCCAGGGACTCAAATTATCTTCTTACCAAATTTCATCTAAATCGATTCAGTAGTTTCGGAGCTTATTCGGTACAAACAAAAAAAAACATTTTTTCCTCTTTATAATATTAGTATAAGTGACTAGCTCTGCCCGTGAATCTGTCTAATCTGCTAATTTCTAACAGTCGAGTTGAGTTGAGTCGAGTATGATTTGTTTGATAAGTATAACCTACATTTTACATATTTAGGCCTTAAAATACATTTTTTTATTGGACTGGTGGTTTCAGAGTTTAACGCATTCAAACTAACACCAACAAAAAAACTTCAGATTGATAAAATCTGTGTAAATGGCAAATGCTGCGCTTATTTTCATAAGGCTAATAGCGAGAAAACTATCTTAGATATGGAACAGTATAAATAGTATGGCTTATGTAGTACTCGAGTTAATACAAAATATGCTACACTAAATTCAAACATATGAAAATATTTGTATCATAATATTGCCTAACATAAAATAACATAACATCAAAATGATAATTAATAAAAACTTTTTAACAAAAAAATAAAAACCAACTTCAAACAAAAGCACTAAAAAGTAAAAAATAACTGATTGGTAGTTTTCATTTACTATACATACCTAATCAAATATTTTCGAAGTCGTGTGCTTTGTTTTGTATGGGCTGGCACCGATTTCGAAAATATTTGATTAGGTATGTATTTAATAGGTAGGCTTTAATTAATTAGCAAAAAAACAAAACTAACTAAACTAAACTAACTAAAACAAAATAAGCCCAAACTCAAAGTATCTACTATTAGCCGTTGAAGAGTTCCACCTATCCACCTTCTGGCCTTGCCATCAGATCAGGTCAACAACACCGAACCACTGTACTTTCGACGGAAATAGAAATACTTGCAAAGTTTCAAGTCAATATGACAATTAGAAGTAGGTTAAAATCATCATTCGTTGTTTTTCCACCCTTAGGGGTGTTTTTTTTTTGAAATTTAAATGGGACCAATCTGGAAGTATACCCTTTCAAACAAAACAAAAATTTTCCAAATCAGTTAATAAATGACGGAGTTCTGAGGTAACAAACATAAAAAAAAAACATACAGTCGAATTGAGAACCTCCTCCTTTTTGAAGTCGGTTGAAAAGACACGTCTGGAGCATGCTTTATGCATCCTAAGACAGTTGTCAAAACATTTCGAGAGAGGCGCAGAAATTACTTGAATTTAGACAAGATCAGTTAGTTATAAATTGCCACACGGCAAGAGTGAGAGAAGAATAAAACATTCGAAATGACTAGAACGGTTTTGAATTTTCGAATACTAGAATGTTCTTTGCTTATGCATATAAAATGCCGGCATTGTGTCGGGAGATCAGTTGAATTTCAAAGTTAAGTGATGATTGCGAAAATGTACAAAAAAAAATGAAAAGTAAAGAAAAATTAAGTGAAGCTATAGTGGAAGTGTTGTAGTGGTGAAAATTAGTGTCCAATAACTGATTTAACCAGAACGGTCTAAATTCTGCGCGTGTTACTGAATCTCCATAAGTCACTCTTGTACTAGTATTATATGATCTGTGCTCTTGTTAATCAGGAGTTATAAAACATCGATAGTGCAAAAGACGTGTGTAATTACCGATCCCCGAACTCACAGAACGTAACAATATTTTAGCTGGATATATGAAAATAATTATTAAAAGTTTACTTAAAAACACACACCAAACATATAACAGGTACATAAACGAAACTTTTTCAATTTTCAGAACATCGTTCTCGACATAATATCTCATTTGTTGAAAACAGCAAAGGTTTTTGAACGGAAATATCCCATATTCTGTAGCCTGCCCAACAATATTGTCGGGATATCACTAAAGCCAGTTCTGAATTATTGGTCGGTATAACGTGAAAATGTTGTGAAGCTCTGAAAATTGTTTAACAAAATCCATGTGGTGGGTTCAAATCTTACAGATCCTCGGGCGAATGTTAGTAAAAGACGAAGCGGAATATGTTTCTTTAAAATGAATAACTTTGTTGTAGACCTGCTCTCGTCAGTGTTTTGAGCGTAGGATGTTTAAAAAGTATTTTTGTGAGCGAAATTTAGAATCGTCTTTTTATATTTACGAGTAAGTAAAAGATATGAATAAGGTTCACGCTGTTCTAAAAGTAAAATGGTAACTATTTATTTTCTTATAGGTTAGAAGATTTAGATCTTTTAATATATTTTTTTTTTAATTTATTGTTACGTCTGTTTGTATAATAACTATTATTTTAAATATATATTTTTTTTTGGAAAAAAAAATATAAATGATATCACGTAAAAATAGTTTTATTTCGCGTAAATCGTAAAGTATTACGACGTGAATTCTTTTTTTTTTTTAATAGTATTTTGACCTTTATAACATTAATAAAACTCACTAATGCTGCGCTCTAATTCAAAACCATATTAATTACTGGTTTCCCTTCACAGAGAATCGCTAGTTTTTGTACATATGGCGTGGATCATCTTCTAGTTTTCCATTCTCTTAAAAACAAATACATTACACAGTTCAATTCAGTCAAAAAACTTACCTATCAGGTGGTTCCATAGATTTATTATCCTTAGTCAAAGGCCTAGAATCGAATAACAGCCACTTAATGATGTTTGCCTGAAGCGCAGATAGAAGAGATCTTGTACCATTTCTTGGTGCAGCCAACCCATATCCAAGGGGTTGGTCAGAGGGTCTCATAACTAGAGGAGTATGGATCCACTCCCCACGGGGAGGACAAGAAGATGTTCCAAAAGCAGTTACACGTAATTCCTGCGAAAATTAAAAAGCAAATTTATCTTCTATTTATGTAAATAAAAATGAATCACCGAATTGTATGTACACGCATAACTTCCGATCGGTTCCACCAAATTGGATAATTCTTTTTTTGTGTTTGTTATTGTTAGGACAAGTTTTGTATAGAACAATAATTAAAACAAAAAAATACAACAATAAGTTTTTTTTAAATCTCATGATCCGATTTAGATGAAATTTGGTAAGCATATTGTTTGTGACCCTGGGAAGGACATAGGGTACTTTCTATCCCAGAAATCATCCCTTAAGGAGGTAAAAATGGGGGTGACGAATTATTTCTTCCAAAAATCTATTAATTTGTATTAAATTATGGCTTTTTATGCTTTTAAATCAACTTTGGGATTAACTTTATTGTAAAGAATTAACTAAACTGGATTGAAATATCAAAATAATTTGGTCATTTAATATGTGTTTATTTAAAAAACAATATCTCAATATTACAGTATCTCAAAATAGAAACTCTTACAATGTATTGAGTACGGAACTAAATGATCTGATCGTTACCATCCTATTTTTGCTGTAGGAAATACTATTTCCCTAATGCCTTTTATCAAGTTATTTAATGCACTACTAAATTACGTATTTTACTTTATATAAAATATCATAAACTTACTATCTTTAATTTTAATCTATTATGACTAGCAACACACCCTCGCTTCGCTCGGGTTTGCTTCCCCCTACAAACTTTCATTTCCATTTTCACCCCCTTAAGGGAAGATTTCTGGGCTTATCCTATGTCCTTTTCAGGGTAAATAAAAAAAATATTTCCTCTTTATAATATTAGTATACATTACAAGCACTTTACTAGAATTTTTTGTATTAGTTACTTGTTATATAATATACCTACATTTGTCAGAATAGACAGACAGTTAATCTTTTTCAGTGGGCTCATGAAATAAAAAAACTTATTAACTTATTTCGGTCATAACGCATTTAATCTGCGCAGGAGATGTTATAGTGTGTGTAGATATGTATCTCTTTTCGTGTCACTCTCATATTTCGGTAGGAAATCAATCCCGAGGAAACGAGCCAATCCAAGCTGCCATTGATAATTAATTTCCACATCACAAACGTTCTAACTCGAGGCTGTTACTAAAAAATCTCTACAGACTCAATAACTAATCTTAGTCCGTTTCGGGACTCGAACCCAGGACCTCCGGATCTGCCTTACATGCCAGCCACTAGACCAATTTTGAATTTTGAAATTAAAATTTAGAATTTGTTGATTTTATAATATGAATTGATTACAACTATAAATTATCATCAATAAAAAATTATAATTCGTTTACTTACGATGGCCAATTCTTCTGATATAGGCTTACCGCCTATTACCGCTGGTCTCAAACCTGGCTGACGGTTTCTGGCATACAACACGCGTTCTGAAAATAATAAGCAATTAATATTTTACTCTCTGTTTACGTTATAACATAACTTATCCAAAAACCACTTATTTGTATGAAATATTAAAAATATGCACCATACATTTCTTCTTGTGATGTGCCTAAAACATGCTTTCTAATCATCTTTACTCGTTTGCAATTTCAAATATTACACCATTTTTATTATACATTCAAAAATGTCAAATATTTTGAGTGTTATGTCAAAATCTTAGTAATTAGTCTAGATTATTTTCAAAATAAAATAATATGTAAGTTGCTATTTAAAAACTTTGACCAAAACTTAAGTTTGAAAGTGCCAATTAAACCAATAGACGAATAGAGATGTGAATAGTACAACAGTATCTATCCCACTGATGCATTCTAAAGCTTATTGAAACTAGGTGATACAAAATTGATTTTAAGTGAAAACGAAGCAATTGTGAAATGTGAACTGAACTTCCGTAGTAATTGCATTCGTGTCGCGGTACAATATCGATATATGGTAGGTGTAGGTGTTATAGTTCAAGGGTGTTGCATTTATCATATTCTAGATTCTAAGCCTATTTCTTTTATATATTCACCAGCGACTCAACCTAGCTCTGCTCGAGTTCGTCCCTACTTACTTTTTAACGTTTAATTTCTTAGAGATGAGATATTTTCTCGCAGTAGAAAGCATCCTATATGTTGACCCGGATAACCAGATATCATCATACTATATTTCATCTAAATCCCTCTATTGGGTTTTCCGTGATTCGGTCACAGACAAACAGACAGTCAAAAATTCTAAAAACTATAGATTCGGCCTCTGTCTCGATAATAATGTCTATATCAATAAGCTTTTCGTACATTTACTATTTATCTGCAATTAAGGTCTCGTTATAAATATATTTTATGTGGAAACAAAAACAATCATTTTTGGCACTTCAATTACGTTTTAGAATTCGATTAGCTGTCTGTCGATCCTTTAACGTTCGACGTCAAAAAAGCTATTAAAAATGGATGAAAAACTCTCAGTATATAAATCAACTTATTAATATGACAAAGTCAAAATAATAAGGACTGCTTAACGAAACAAGCCATCTGCGCAGGAGATTCATTTCACCATGAATTCGATGGGATGATAAGTTGATACGACCGGTGATAAGTATGGCGCAGGATCGATGACTTTGGAGGGCACATGTTCTTCGAGAGTAAAAAACGAGGTTGTTAACAAAAATTTCTTGACAGAAATATTTCAGTACATATAACACTTGGCCCGACTCGAAACTCAAACCCAGAACCTTTGGATCTGCTGCTGTACATGTTAACCACTACATTGGTAAAGGAGTAATAAACTTATATAATATACATATATGTATATACAAAATTTTATATTTTTATAACAGTCCAAATTTTGCAGTCGATAATACCTGCGCTGTTTTAATCTCACTCAAGCGTTTTTAAGTTTTGAGCGAATTAAATGAATTGTGCAAAATAAAATTATTCTTACCTTCTCCAAGCATTGCTTGATTCAAATGTAGCATTTCCAAAAAATCCACAGTAATAACAAATAAAACTCAAAATTCCAATCAAAAATGACACATCACATAAAAATACAGAAGTACTATAAATTTTTATTTATATTTATCAATTGTAAGGCACGTCACACCAGAGTCGGCTGTTGATATCGAATAGAATGTTCGCGAAATATTTTATTTTCTATTACTCTCTTTGTCTCTTTCTCTCAGTCTCAGTTCTCTTTCTTACCTCTCTCTCTATCTTTTTCTCCAAGTATAATGAAAATAAAGCAATCCAAATCAAAAAATGTAGGAAAAATAAAATTATATTTTAAACTAATGTCTATCATGGAATCATAAATAAATAAATTGAGTACAACAAGGTATATTTTAGTGAAAAGTTGTAACAATTCTTATAATATGATTATACAATATTTCCATACAATGAATTTTTTTATTGTAATCTATACTCATCTGGCTGAAAACATTAACAAGAAAATTGTTTTGAATTAAATTTTTGTGTTGTTTTAAATTATCAAACAACATGCTTATTTCTTATTGTTTTATTCATTACTAGCTGTTGCCTGCGGCTTCGCTCGCGTCAAGTTTCATTTTTAGACTATTTACCTCTTTTCACCCCCCAAGGGGTTGATTTTGAACAATCACATGATAAAGCACGGATGTCAAACTCTTATTTATTTATTGACAGAAGTAATCCTGCAAATTTTCGAATTCATACATCTCTCTTATATGATTTCTCCATACGAATTTTAAACCCCCGTTTCACTCCTTTAGGAATTGAATTTTCTTGAATCCGTTCTTAGCAGATACTACGTTATAATAACTATCCGTGTACCTATGCGTTGATAGATCAGTCAGTCACGATTTCTTTTATATATACAGCTGATGATGTATCTTAAAATATATTATTAAGATGACTACACGTTTGGCTCAGTTTTTAGTGACCCTACTTACTGTGTCTGCGGTCACGAGTTCGAGTCCCGCTGGGGGCATTCATTTTTGTGATGAGCACGAATGTTTGTACTCTAGTCATGGGTGTTTATATTTATAATATTATGTATGTATTTAATGTTATTTATGTGTAGTGTATCAACTATCTGGTATCCATAACACAAGCCTCGTAGCTTACCATGGAAATAGATGGTACTGTGTGTTAATGTATCAACATATTTATTTATTAAGTTAATTTTGGTATAAAAGAACAATTGCAAAACTAAAAGCCAAAATTCCAACTAGTTTTAATCTATGATTTGAAGCATACTCATATAAAAAAGTCGGTTAACAAACAGACGAAGTTAATACCAAGAATACTAATATATAATAGAAAGCATCCTATATGTTGACCCGGATAACCAGATATCATCATACTATATTTCATCTAAATCCCTCTATTGGGTTTTCCGTGATTCGGTCACAGACAAACAGACAGTCAAAAATTCTAAAAACTATAGATTCGGCCTCTGTCTCGATAATAATGTCTATTTCAATAAGCTTTTCGTACATTTACTATTTATCTGCAATTAAGGTCTCGTTATAAATATATTTTATGTGGAAACAAAAACAATCATTTTTGGCACTTCAATTACGTTTTAGAATTCGATTAGCTGTCTGTCGATCCTTTAACGTTCGACGTCAAAAAAGCTATTAAAAATGGATGAAAAACTCTCAGTATATAAATCAACTTATTAATATGACAAAGTCAAAATAATAAGGACTGCTTAACGAAACAAGCCATCTGCGCAGGAGATTCATTTCACCATGAATTCGATGGGATGATAAGTTGATACGACCGGTGATAAGTATGGCGCAGGATCGATGACTTTGGAGGGCACATGTTCTTCGAGAGTAAAAAACGAGGTTGTTAACAAAAATTTCTTGACAGAAATATTTCAGTACATATAACACTTGGCCCGACTCGAAACTCAAACCCAGAACCTTTGGATCTGCTGCTGTACATGTTAACCACTACATTGGTAAAGGAGTAATAAACTTATATAATATACATATATGTATATACAAAATTTTATATTTTTATAACAGTCCAAATTTTGCAGTCGATAATACCTGCGCTGTTTTAATCTCACTCAAGCGTTTTTAAGTTTTGAGCGAATTAAATGAATTGTGCAAAATAAAATTATTCTTACCTTCTCCAAGCATTGCTTGATTCAAATGTAGCATTTCCAAAAAATCCACAGTAATAACAAATAAAACTCAAAATTCCAATCAAAAATGACACATCACATAAAAATACAGAAGTACTATAAATTTTTATTTATATTTATCAATTGTAAGGCACGTCACACCAGAGTCGGCTGTTGATATCGAATAGAATGTTCGCGAAATATTTTATTTTCTATTACTCTCTTTGTCTCTTTCTCTCAGTCTCAGTTCTCTTTCTTACCTCTCTCTCTATCTTTTTCTCCAAGTATAATGAAAATAAAGCAATCCAAATCAAAAAATGTAGGAAAAATAAAATTATATTTTAAACTAATGTCTATCATGGAATCATAAATAAATAAATTGAGTACAACAAGGTATATTTTAGTGAAAAGTTGTAACAATTCTTATAATATGATTATACAATATTTCCATACAATGAATTTTTTTATTGTAATCTATACTCATCTGGCTGAAAACATTAACAAGAAAATTGTTTTGAATTAAATTTTTGTGTTGTTTTAAATTATCAAACAACATGCTTATTTCTTATTGTTTTATTCATTACTAGCTGTTGCCTGCGGCTTCGCTCGCGTCAAGTTTCATTTTTAGACTATTTACCTCTTTTCACCCCCCAAGGGGTTGATTTTGAACAATCACATGATAAAGCACGGATGTCAAACTCTTATTTATTTATTGACAGAAGTAATCCTGCAAATTTTCGAATTCATACATCTCTCTTATATGATTTCTCCATACGAATTTTAAACCCCCGTTTCACTCCTTTAGGAATTGAATTTTCTTGAATCCGTTCTTAGCAGATACTACGTTATAATAACTATCCGTGTACCTATGCGTTGATAGATCAGTCAGTCACGATTTCTTTTATATATACAGCTGATGATGTATCTTAAAATATATTATTAAGATGACTACACGTTTGGCTCAGTTTTTAGTGACCCTACTTACTGTGTCTGCGGTCACGAGTTCGAGTCCCGCTGGGGGCATTCATTTTTGTGATGAGCACGAATGTTTGTACTCTAGTCATGGGTGTTTATATTTATAATATTATGTATGTATTTAATGTTATTTATGTGTAGTGTATCAACTATCTGGTATCCATAACACAAGCCTCGTAGCTTACCATGGAAATAGATGGTACTGTGTGTTAATGTATCAACATATTTATTTATTAAGTTAATTTTGGTATAAAAGAACAATTGCAAAACTAAAAGCCAAAATTCCAACTAGTTTTAATCTATGATTTGAAGCATACTCATATAAAAAAGTCGGTTAACAAACAGACGAAGTTAATACCAAGAATAC